ATTTGTTCACCAGACTTCACATTTTCCTAAGACTTCATCGAGACTTCACTGACTTCATCATGACTTCATCGAGACTTCAGTGACTTCATCGTGATGACTTCACTGACTTCATCGTGACTCCACAGACTTCATCGAGACTTCTTCAACGTGTACACCAGACTTCATTAGTGGTTCGCCCTTGATTATCTACAACTACATATTTACATACTCACCACTTCTAAGACATCTGCAATTTTTGCTAATACGTCGTTGTTGAGATTCTGCAGTAATGGTACAGACTTGAGAAAGTTGATGTTATCTTGGAGTCGCTGAAGTCCAGTCCTCATCATTATCTGCTGGAAGACTTTTCTGTCCAAAATCCATACTTTCACATTATCCACGGCTGTGAACAACATTATTTTTCATGATCAAATTGAAATTACAGAAAAAAAGTTACAAAATATGGAATCATTTCTTGAATTTTCTCTTGCAATATAACACACATCTTTTCTAAGGAGTATATTGCTGCTATTATTTTTTCTATGACTATGTCCAGAGATTAGGTTTCAGCATCAATTTCAAATTTAAAGTTGATGCTGAATTTAAATTGGCGCCTAACTTCTTCAAGGAGTAATTGATGATATCCGAAATAAGGACACCATCCTATCCGAAATAGGAGACCATTCCTTGAATAGTGGAAGGTTTACGAGTATGATTTTTTTTAATTCCCGAATTTTATTCACGATCAATGTTTAGTTCGTAATATCGTGTTTGAATACATATTGACCTGTGTAATGAAGCAAAAGAAAAGATCAACTTGATTTCGATTCGAACATCTTTGACACTGCCGAAAGCTATCTGAAAATAGGCGTCCTATCTCTATGAGTAATTATCAATGAAAAACGTTTGCTGACAACCACCATTTACCTAACAATATAAATGATATGAAATAGTATCAGTACTATTGTGTCAATTAGGAGATTTCAACTTGCTCGACAATAAACATATAGAAAGAAATATATTTCTAGGATCTCACTTTTCTCAACATAACTGGAGAACTGAACCTGCCTTATATGATGTAAGGGCATAGATTGAGAAGAAAAAACTTAAGCAGATGAGTACATATTTCTGAAAAGTATATCATTTCAATGGACTTTGATCTCTCACAAGCATGCTCTGCCTTCTACATATTTTTTCATACTTCGAAGTTATTTTCCTTGTGTTTGAATTTTGTTCTTCATTTTCTGTAATGTTGTTTTGATTCATGAACGAATATTTGTGAATTCATTCAGCTAGGTATAGTCTCATCTTTATATCCGATTTTTTTCATTTCTAATAACTGAGCTTCATACGAGAATTTCATTCTCGAACAATGAAGCGCTTTTTTACATCGACTTCATCCATGATAGGACAATGTCATTCATATAATGTCCACAGGGTATTTTTCGAGAATATTTGATTATTCCCAGAATATCCTCACAATATGATGAAAATATTCTAGGGATGTTCTATAAAAATTCGGAATGGACGCTGTTCTGAATATTCTGAGAATATTCGTAATATATTATATTAAAGGAAGAAAAAAAAGAGATGGAGAAAATACTTACTCCGGTGAGGATGCGAATCAATATGTCAATCGATTTGAATGCATTTTTTGATTCAATGAAAATGTTATCCGAATGCAGAAGTTCATTTTAACGGAAGGCTTCAGAAAAGTACCTCGAAAATGGTTTATATACAGCGATTTACTATAATAATAATAATACGAGTTAATTCAAAAACGTTTACAAAATATACATTGGAATAAACATAGAAGTAATTTGAATAAACTGGGAAAAAACATTACGAAGTTAACCTTGTAGTAAGGATAAAAAATAAATAAATGTACATAGGTAAATAAATATTTAACAATATCAAGTTATCACAATTGAAATTTGTCTTATTGAGAAATGAGACAAGTATTCAATTTATAATATATAGTGTACGGAGCATTTCATTCAATACGCATAATTATTTATATTCATACTTATTCACAATTATTATTAAAATTTATCTAATGATATTATTAAATGTTAATTAAAGAAATAAAATAATTTTTAGGGGTTTAATATCCATGAAAGAGACTAAAAAAAAAAACTAGGGAGAATGTATTTTTGTGACATCCCAAGAACATCTTCATGAACGCTGCCTACGGCAGACATTGGTTGTTCTATAAAAGAGTTCTATTCATGTGTAAACAGAACATCGCAGTGGAGGTTCAATGTCTCGAATTATCGTACTTTTACCATCTCTGAGATGTTTGCTCGCTGGGGTTGGTAATCGTTTGATAGATTTTTCCGAATTTCATGTACAGGATGATTCCAAAACGTAGCGGATTTGAGAATTTCATCGCCAACGTTGCCGCTTTTTGAGTTATTCCGGAATTATTATTAACCTCCTTACGAGCCTCCTTATATCAAATATAACATCCTTCGTGACATCCTGTATTTTATTGATTCTTCAGATTCTCTCTGAAGAGTTGATAACATCAATTCATCACCCTTGGGATCTAGCAGAAAAGTTTATAGAGATATTGGGTGTTGAAAACGAGAAATTTTAACTTTAATTTTTTTTCGTCGAAACTATTGATTTATGGTCAAAACAGCTCACATGTTCCTACCTCAACTTTTGGTTTACTATCGACTGACATTTAATAGAAACAAATACTGGGTGGTTCAACATTCAGAATTCTGATCATCCCCTGTATCTGTTTAAATTGAATGCAGTAGAAAAATAAAGCTTGAGATAGGAACATGAGAGCCGTTTTGACGGATAATGAATATTTTCGTCACAAAAAATTCCTGAAGTTGAAAAATCTCCAATTTGAACATTCTACTATATCTCTGTAATCATTCCTGCTATAGGCTCCAGGTGTGATATACCGATGAAGATCAGGAATGTTCACATAATAGATTATATTTATGCAGAAACTACAAAGAACAGTCTGAAACAGATAGGTTCTGATATACAGGGTGTAACTAAATAAGTGTGAAGCATTTGAGGGGGTAATATCTCATCGAAAGGAAGATATGGGATTTTTCATGTAAAGAAACTTCATTGGAGCATCCCATGTTAAGATACAGCCCCTTGAAGGCGGTACATGAAATTTGTTTGATAATTTTTTTCACAAGCACTAAAAAATTCAAGGGACATTTTTTGTTGACAATGAAACAGGCTATCAATAATATATTTTTGAATGGTAAACAAATGATAAGACAAAAAGTTACATTGGGAATAAAATTGAGAGGTTGCGTTTTCCACCCCTTACAACCATGAGGTAAACCAAATAAATTATTGATAAACCTAGAATCTCAAGACTAAGAGATTCTAGGAAAATTTCATGAATCTATTGTCAGCTGATGCAAGACAGACTGTTTCGACTTGCCATAAGTCTCATCAGTTGCACTGGCCAGCTGACAATCGATTCACGAAGGGTACCTCCATATATCAAACAAGTCGAAGCCCTGAGGGGGCAGAAGAACGATCTAGCCTTCATAGCCATCTAGTGGCTTAAGTGCAAAGGTGTATGGTAGATTCATCAATCATACCTTGCGAGTAAGTCGTGCATATATACCCCTACGTCTATATGCTTACAGAAAAGACATCCATGTCAGATTCTGTAGACTATCGCAACACCTGTAATTCTCAAAGTGGTTTAATGTTCCACTAACATATGGAGGTACCCTTCGTGAATCGATTGTCAGCTGGCCAGTGCAACTGATGAGACTTATGGCAAGTCGAAACAGTCTGTCTTGCATCAGCTGACAATCGATTCACGAAATTTCCCTAGAATCTCTTAGTCTTGAGATTCTAGGTTTATCACCATCTGTAGGGGTCGTAGGGGTCTATATGCACGACTTAGTCGCAAGGTATGATTGATGAATCTACCTATACACCTTGCACTTAAGCCACTAGGTGGCTATGAAAGCTAGATCGTCCTTCTGCCCCCTCAGGGCTTCGAACTAAATTATTGGCTAAGTGTCTTTTTGGTAGTAGAAAATGTCAGGATAATTTCAAAACTGTAACCTTTTTAATGCTCGTGAAAAAAATTGTTGAACAAATCTTATGTACCCCCTTCAAGGGGCTGTATCTCAACATGGGATGCTCCAATGAAAATCCTATCTTTTTTTCGATCACCCCCTCAAATGTTCTACACTTGTTTAGTCACACCCTGTATAGAGTGCCCCTGAGAGTGAGAGATTCCTGATATGTGTAATTGGGTAGGCATCCATCTTCTTGATGCCTATTTTTCTGTGGGCCTGGTGTGACATATTATTTTGAGTTTTTTCTGTTTCAGGAAATATCAAAATATTAATGTTTCAACCATACACATAACTGTGTTATTATAATCAGTAAGTAGACGTCATTCAAATTCCTTTCCTGATTTCTCAATTTATGCAGCAGATGAACTAAATGACACTCAGAAAGACAGCAGAAAGACAGTAGATGATCTGTCTCAAAATATCACTGTGTTAATGGATCATACTCAGTCTTTCAGGAGTACATGGCAAGATCAATTCATCAACACAGAAATATTCGGGGACAGATCAACTTCTCTCTCTCTTTTAAAGATCATTCAGTTGATTCTCTTGATGATCCTTGGAAAATATAGTCATATTAACCTTAAAATACTCCTAGAAAATGATTGAAATAATAAGATAAAATATTGTTCAAATGTTTCTAGTAACAATAAATATACGTTATGAAGAAACATTGATTCCATTTTATTTATGGAATATTTATGCAATATTCACTATTGAACGTTACATTGTAATATTTACACAAGTCTTATACGTCGATTGCTGCTACGTTTTTGTGATATCAAGCATATCTCTGGATAACATCACAAAGTAACAATGTGATATAACAATTATGTCCAAGTTATGTTTTTATGTTCACTGTGGGCTGTTTCCATACTTTTGCCTAACCCTTTATGAACCCCATGCTCACCTCTGATGGACGCGGTCCTCGTGCAATTGTACAAGATGGCAAGCTCCCCGAACGCTTTCCCAGGCCCCATGTGCCCCAGCACCTTCCCGTCCTTGATGACCTCCAGTTCCCCCCTGGCGGACACGAACAGAGCTCCCCCCGCTTCCCCCTCGGTGATGACCAGCGATCCTGCCGAGAACTCCTTAGGGTGCATGCAATCGACCATCTCGCGCACCTGGCACGTGTCCATGTTCTTCAGGAAGTCGTTGTCCAGGATCGCTTGTTTTATCAGCTGCTTGGATCTGGAATTATTTTACAGTTATAGGACTATCTTTTGCGGAATATAATCGCGTCGGTGTTTTCGGAAGGCCATGTTGGATTGCTAGGTGATGGTATTATACAATAGTAGGCAGAGAAGGAGCAAACTCAAATAGTACCGATAGAAGCGCGCCACCAACGTATCATAAATAACAATGAGACGGTTTTCAATTGATGTTGATAATAGATGTAGTTGAATTTCATCAGATTTCTTTCTTGGTACGTGGATCAGCCATCAGGTGATATTTCTAGAGGTAAGTACTTTTTCGAAGTAAATAAAGAAAATCATTGCAAATGTTTTATCATTGATGGAAACATTTATGTTCATTTTTCAAATATGCTATCTCGTCGAGTACTTCTTGGGATACATACAGTCCACTATCTCGCGCATCTGAAATGTGTCCATGTTCTTCAGGAAGTCGTTGTCCAAGATCGCTTGTTTTATCAGCTTCTTGGATCTGGAATTATTTCACTGTTATAGGACTATCTTTTGCGGACTATAATCGCGTCGGTGTTTTCGGAAGGCCATGTTGGATTGCTAGGTGATGTGTGGTGATGTTCAGCTGCTGCTTAGATGGTACAATAGAGCGTAAGCGTAATATATCAATCAACGACAATAGTGAGCAGAGAGGGAGAAAACATGAATAGCACCGATAAAAGCGCGCCAGCGACGTATCATAAATAATCATTAAAGGGTTGTTAGGTGATGTTGATGATTGGTGTTGTTTGAGTTCATCAGATTTTTTTTCTTGGTACGTGGGTGAGTCAGGTTATTTTTCTAGAGGAAAATACTTTTTCAAAGGAAATTTGGAAAATCATTGCAAATGTTTCATTATTGAAGAAATCATTCATGTTCATTTTTTCAAATATGCTATCTTGGAAGGCCCTGTCGGATCGTTTGGTGGTGTTCAGTCGCTACTTAGATGGTACAATAGTAGGCAGAGAGGGATAAAACACGAATAGTAATTGAAGCGCGCCAGCGACTTATCATGAATAATCATGAAAGCGTGGATGATATTGATGATAGGTGTGGTTAAATTTCATCAGATCTGCTTCTTGGTACGTGAGTTGGTAGGTGATTCTTTTAGAGGTGGGTACTTCTTCAAAGTTTAAAGGAAATAAAGAAAATCATCGCAAATGTTTTATTATTGATGAAAACATTCATGTTCATTTTCTCAAATATGCTATCTTGTCGAGAACTTCTTCGGATACAATCTGCCCACCATCTTGCGCACCTAGAACGTGTCCATGTCCTTCAGGAAATCGTTTTCCAGGATCGCTTGTTGTATCAGCTGCTTGGATCTGGAATTATTTAACTGTAATAGGACTATCTTTTGCGGAATATAATCGAGTCAGTGTTCTTGGAAGGCTCTGTTTCTGTTCGGTGGCCCTGTCGGATCGTCCGGTGGTGTCCAGTTGCTACTAAGATGGTAATTAGGCAGAGAGGAAGAAAACACGAATAGTATAAGTTATACGACGTCAGTTGAAAAAGCAAAAAAAAATTGAACCAGCTGCATGTCGGCAAATCCTTTGACCAGACGCAGGTCAGGTTAGGTTAAATATTTATTTCGGTATACCACAAATTAGGGCTGTTCTTAAATTAATTTTTGATTGTTCACAAATTACCTATACAGGGTGTCCCGTAATTAGCCTGCCAAACTTCACCAGCGGCTTTTCCGACCAAAAATAGGAAGGAAAGTTCTAATGAACATGAGTAGAGAAATTTCTTCTAAGGCAGCTTCGATCCCCCAAAAGGGGGCTCCTGAAGATGATATCTCTTGAATATTTCCGAAACGCCACGTGATGAAATGATACAACTTGCTGAAAGAACTGAACTTTCCATACCCAATGCGTTGAACATGAAATCATTTCAGGGTTTCAATTAGGTGTGTGTAATACAGGATGGGACTACATAAAATATTGCTCAAACTTTTTCGTGTGCATATTTTTTGACAATTCAATCTCGAATTATGAGAATCCACACTATTTCACAAAAAAAGTGCTCTTACTCCGCATCGATCAGATGTATCATTTTCGAGTGAAATCGATTTAAAAATACTGATGCACTCACATCTTATGCATAACATTGCCAATTTTCAAATTATAGTGACTATAAGAAAATCAAGTACTATCTTATTACCGAACAATCTTATAAGAGCACGAAAAATAGAAAAATGATGATCAAGAAACTACTTCAATTTTTGTGCATTTTTTTTCAATTTTTATATTGCTTTCACTCGATTATATTACATACATCGTCACGGAACAAGAGTTCCTTTTTTTGTAAAGAGGTGTGAAGTTTTATAATCCTAGATTAAATTGTCGAAATATATGCAAACAATAAATTCTGAGCAATATTTAATATAGTCCCACCCTGTATTATACACTCCTGATTGAAATTTCATAGCTTATTTTAGTTAATTCCTGTATTCTCTTCTCAAGTTGGTTTTCTGAAGAATCATTATTCTCGTCCTTGAGACGCGAATAGATATTCAAAATTACCCTTTGCGGTTGAAACGTGTGAGTCTTTTTTGGCGAACTCCACTTGCTCTTCCTCCGTATCACTATGAGTCACTTCGTTGACTTCCTCGAAAGGCCTCCAGAATACAGAACCACTATGATAGAAATAATTAATTTTCTGAATTTCGAGTTGAACCAATGAAGACGACCTACCTCGTACCGCACTGCCTAGCGCAGGCTAGAAGATTATTATCACACAGGAGGCCGCCCATGCAACTCTGACCAATCAACATTCAGTATAGTTTGGAGTAACCAATGAGACGCGGTTTCTAGCATGACAGCGCTCGTCCAGTCCACGTTGAATGCACAGGCTGCATACCGGGAAAGCTCAGTAGAAAATATCTCATTCATTCCTATTCCAATGTTAAGCTAATCGACAAATCCTGGTATCGTCCTTGAAAACGGAAGTTTTTCAACTGACTTCGCATAAACTATACCGATAGAAGCGCGCCTACAACGTATGGAAGGGTTGCTGAGTGATGTTGATGATAGGTGTAGTTGAATTTCATCAGATTTTTTCTAGGTACGTGGGTAAGTCAGGTGATATTTCTACAGGTAAGAAAATGAAGAAAATCATTGCAAATGTTTTATTATTGATAAAAACATTCGTGTTCATTTCCCAAAATATGCTATCTTGTCGAGTACTTCGTGGAATACATGCAGTTCACCATCTCGCACTCCTGGAACGTGTCCATGTTCTTCAGGAAGTCGTTGTCCAGAATCGCTTTTTTTATCAGCTGCTTGGATCTGGAAGTACTTCACTGATATAGGACTATTTTCTGCAGAATATAATCGCGTCGGTGTTTTCGAAAGGCTCCGTAGGATCGCTAGGTGGTGTTTAGATGCTACTTAGATGGTACAATAGTGGACAGAGAGGAAGAAAACACGAATAGTACCGATAGAAGCGATGTGATGTTGATAATAGGTGTAGTTGAATTTCATCAGATTATTAATTTCTCTCCATAGTCCACTGTGTTTGGCTCGATGATCAATTGAGGTAAACAATATCGTTGTGTGAGACAAAAAATGTTGCTGGATGTGATCATTCAGAAACAAGTTATCCAATCAATCTGATCCCGAGAATAATGAATGTGATACAGATAAAACAAGTATGTGAATCCTGGAGGCTTTCCTTATCAAAAGAAGAATATGTATATGATTTAAATAAGGTGTATTCATATCTCCAGTTAGAATATGAAATGTCTAATTTGCCGAAATCGGAAAAGAAACAGGTATGCGTCCCAACCCAAATAACTAACCAAAACAATGTTGTTTATTCTTGATGACCAAGTACATCTTTTTCAGTTCCAAGAAGCTGAAGCTCAACTTGGAACTAGGAACTCCAAGTGTTGCCTGGCAACATACCTTCGTTTGTGTCAGTAATAGAAACGTCAATTCAAGATCTAATTTTTGTATTGAAATGGCCGTCTTTTGTGTCGTTTGCTGAAAATAATATTTCAAATGAATCCAAATAACGAATGATAGTATCAAATACTATTGATACACGGACTGATAAATATCACATAGGTATGTGGCGTGAGTTCGATTAGTGTGTGATTAGTAATTATTTCAGCAATGTTTCAATCGTTCATCAATGTCCTCACCTGAAGTCCTTGTCGTATTTCGTAATGGGAATATTCCCGCCATCCCCCGTACATTCGCTAGACTCCGCGGACACCCCCTGTTTCTTGGAATTGTTGGTTTGGCTCTGAGGAACGCGGTTCGCCATCGCGTGCTGCTTCTGAATGCTCGCAAGCAGTTCTCCATCTCTCGCAGCGTTTGTTTGCTGAAGAACGCACTGGAAAATACGTTTGTATTTGTATGAATCATACGAATTGATCACTCTATGTAGATTAATAATGATCTTTTTAGAAACCATTTAATTCGACACTGAAAAAATAAAGTTTATATCTATCAACAATATGATATTTTCTCATCAGCAGCAAATAAGAAATACAATTTTTTATGAGCTCCGAGTCAAAAATTCTGGGTTTGTACAGAGTATCACATTTTCAGATTGAAAATCTCTAACTGGGAATTTCATTTTACGATTTGGAACTTGACATTTCCATCTCAAGATTCGGAATTGAATTAGTTAGACACCAAGCTTTGAATGATCGACTCATCAGTAGGAAAGTTCGAGTTTTCATTTGGAGTTTGAATTAGAAATGTAATTTTCCTT